CGCAGCTGGGAGAACTTCAGCAGCAGGCCCTAGCCGGCGAACTGGAAGGCTGGAGAATGGTTGCGAAGGAGGCACAAGAGGCCGCGGCAACCCTCGAGGAGGAGCTTTCCGTGGCCAGGCGCGAGCTCAAGGCACTCGGGCACAGCGGTGTCTTTGACAACGCGGCCCCACGAGCGAGGAAACGGTGCGAGGGCGTATCGACCGCGGTGGGTACGCGCGTCCCCAGAGCGGCGTCGTACGCCGGTGCGGCGCGCCAAGCGCGCACCGGCTCGTTCCTCTCCCGCCACAACTCGCACGTGAGGTTGTGACGTACACACGTCCCGAAGACGAGCTAAAGGAAGGTGGTGCGGTGAAGGGGTGGGCGGGGGCGCACACTGATTTTCTTTTGCCTCGCGGACGTCCCCGACGACGTGCCTCCAACGTGCCGACCAACGTGCGTGCTCGACGACGTGCGTGCTCGACGACGCTATCTTAGACGCTGGCTTGGACGCTGAGCTTGACCGTGAGCTGAAACTGACCACGCGGGCAGATTTTGTCGCCGCCGCAGTTCCAAGTCGATGCATGCCGCAACTGATAGTCTCCTCAGTGAGCGCGCTGACGTTTCATTCGCTGTTCGAACTCTGCCAGGACGTGGCCGAGGAATCGTGGCGGTGCGAGACATCGCCCCGGGCGAACAGCTCGCCTCGTTCGCCTCTTTTTCGCACATAATGCACGACTTTGAAGACGTGAGCTACTCGTACCCACACGGAGAGTCGCTGAGCGAGGCCTGCAGCGCCTGCCTCTGCTGGAGTGCTGCAGCGCAACCGCTGCGCTGCGAGGGCTGTGCGAGCGCCTGGTGCAGCCCCAAGTGCCGTTCATGGTCCCAGGAAAAGGGCCACGCTTTGTGCTGCGCAGGGCTCAGCAGGATTCACAGCATGAAGAGCAGAAAGTTCTCTCCCCGCGAGAGATCGACGGCGTGCTTTCTGCTGCGCGCCTTCGCGCAGCGCGCGTCCGAGGCGAATCACCGGCACTCGCAGCCGGCGCTCGACGGCGAGCCTTCTTTTGAGCAAGCGACCGCGCAGTGCCAACAGGTTGCACGCTCC